TAGTTTAAACATAGTCTGGGGGTTATTTTTGTTTGTATGTTTTGACATTGTTGGGGTATTTTGAGGGTATGTTTTATTTTTCGTCGAAAATCCCCATGTAGGGGGACAGGCCCGACATAACCCTAGCCCATCCCCCACCCCAGCTGGGGATATTGCCTTCGAAGCCCGAAGGGAGCAGCTTGAATCCCCGCCTGGAGGGATACATCGGGCAGTGGGGCTCAGACCACGCCAGTTGGGGCAGGGATCGGTTAAGCGACCCTCGCAGGGGGAAGAGGAGGACGGGGAGGAGGTGGAGGAGGAGGAGGAGGAGGAGGAGGAGGAGGAGGAGGAGGAGGAGGAGGAGGAGGGGGAGGAAGAGCAGGAGGAGGAGGAGGCAGGAGGAGGAGGAGGAGGAGCAGGGGAGGAGGAGGAGGAGGAGGAGGGGGAGGAGGAGGAGGAGGAGGAAGAGCAGGAGAAGGAGGAGGAGCAGGAGGAGGACGAGGTCAAACGATGCTCACTCTCCCCCACTCCTTCCCCCCCCGCCGTGCGCGCCCGCCGCCCGCGCAGGCTCGGGAACAGACGGCGGCAGGCGCCCCGCGGCTCGCGGCCGCGCCCTCGCTCTCCGGGCAGAGGGCTGCCGAGGGGCACGAACCACCACGAACCACGAACCACGAACCACGACGAAAATAAAGAAGTCCAGCCCAGGGGGGCTGCCCTGGGAGCTGGGGCTCAGGCTCAGGGGAGGAGCCGAGGGGGACGAACCACGACGAACCACGAACCACGACGAAAAGAAGGATGTCCGCGGCCCAGGGGGGCTGTCCTGGGAAGCCTGGACGGAGCAAGCCTCCGAAGGGTGGTTCCAAGAAACGCCCTGCTTGCCTCCAGGGTGCCCTGGGCTTCTTGGGTCTCGATGGTTTTGCCATGGAAAGCGTGACGTTCCCACACCAGAAATCGATGGACGTCCTGGGGTCTCTCAGGGTTGGGCTTCTTGTGGAAGGTTTCCTGTGGCCGGGCCCCCACTGCAAGCCGGCCCGGCCGCCCCGGGCGCCCTGCAGCGGTCCTCGCCGCGTCAGCGCGCTCCCTTCCTCTTCCTTCCCTCTCCCGGGGCCGCCTCTTTCTTGTCTCCCACTTGCATCCAATTCGCAACGCCGTCTCCCTGCCTGCCGAGCGCGCGTGCGGACTGTCTTCGTAATGTAGGACTTACCCGACCACCCCAACCCAACCCGACGGTCCCAGACCCCCCCCCACACACACACACACACACACACACACACACACACACACACACACACACACACAACACACACACACACACACACACACACACACACACACACGCACACACACACATATACACACACATCGGGTTGGGGTGTGTTCGGGTTCCGTGGTTGTCTCTCGATGTTCCAGAACGTCCCCCCACTGGAGATTGGCACGCCCAGCGGCGTCTTCCGGTTGGGTTGGGGTGGTTTGGTGGTTAGTCAGTAATTCCGTTTTTTAGATTGCATGAGCGTGCGCCAGCGTTCGGTCATCGATGGTGTGGCGCCGATTAGCGTAGATTAGTGCCGATGCATTGTCGATTCGCGTCGACTGGCGCCGAAGAGCGCCGATGCGCAAGAGCCAGCAAGATGGCATGGGAGGCTTCCCTTCGTTGCCACAGGGGGGACGAGCCAAAGGTACAGCTTCTTTTCCCCGGCCAGCGATCAGCGGGCGAACGGGGCGCGGCCGCCGGCGCCCCAGCAAGGTGCCGACAATGCTCGGAGGCCTAGAGGCTGGCAACAGCACCAATGTCGGCGCTGTGCCTCAACCGAGGGCAGAGGATCCTGGCGTCGGCGACGGTGGTAATGGATGGCCGAAGTATAGACACCGACACCGGAATCTAGGATCGTCTCCCCCCGGGTGGAGGCAACCCCCTGTTCTGGTGTCGGTGCCCGCTTTCAGGCCTCCAGCGGGCACTTTGGGCAGCTAAGCTCAGGAGGGAACAAAAACACACACACACAATTCATCGTCGATTCCCGAGAAAATATTGGAAAATATGGGACGTTGGGGGGGAAGACAAAAAACCAGAAAATATGGGAAAACATGTGGAATCCTGTTACTTGTTTTGTTTGTGTGTGTGTTTTCCCACTGTGTGTGTGTTTTCCCACAGTGTGTGTGTGTGTGTGTGTATGTGTGCGTGTTTTCCCGGAGCAGGCAAGCATTAAGTCGGACCTGTCCCCCTACAGGGGGAGTTTCGACAAACAAACATACCCCAAAGTAATCAAAACATAGTCCCAAAATAGTCTGGGGACTACTTTTTGAATATCTTAATTTGGCCTTCTTGGGGTATTTTGGGGGTATTTTGCATTTTTCGTCGAAAATCCCTCTGTAGGGGGACACTCCCGACATAAGGCAAGCAGCGGCGAAGCGCCCTGGCTCGCCTCGAGCCCTGCCAGACACTGTTCGGAAAATCTTGTGGTTTCCACGACATGTTCGCAGAGCATTTCTGGCGGAGTCTGTTTTGTTTTAGCACATCGGGTGTACGTTCTAAGAACATTGTTTTGTTATTAGAAAATGGTTTGGGTTCTACAAACATGTCGTGGTAGCACCTGGTAGGACTATAGGAATGCCGGGACGGGGGGGGGAGGGTTCGGGGGCCCCAAGGCGGTGCGGGGACCACGCCGTGTGTCAGGCGATCGCAAGCATGGATCAAAGGAGGGCGTGGATCAGCGGCGGGTCCCGTCTCCATCGGAGATCGCGGATTGCCGCCGCCGAGCGAGGCGGCATTGGCAGCATTTTGGGGAGGGCACCTTCCCCGATCCATGGATTTGGCGACCATGCGTCAAGTCCATGGATCGCTAGTGTATGTGTGCGCGCACCCCCGAACCACGACGTGTGGTGAGTCAGCGGCGGCCTCCTCGCCGAGCAGCCCGAGTGCAGAGCTATTTCGGAAGCTGGAACATATACATTACCAGTGGCGGGCTGTTTCTCAATCCCAGAACTTTTTGAGGGTCGGGAACGCCGTCGGGGTGGTGTGGTGTATAATTTGTCCAATTTCCTGGGGGGGAGGCATCAAACAGTGTATACACCAGGATCCGTATACACCAGGATCCGATTTCCTGTGCGCATTTCAGTGCGGGGCCAGAGAAAGCGTCGGTGTCTAGAGTTCGGCTCCTTACTATTGTACAGCGGAGACCCTTTTCCAAGAAACAGCCTGCTCGCCTCCAGGGTGCCCTGGGCTTCTTGGGTCTCGATGGTTTTGCGATGGAGAGCGCGACGTTCCACACAAAAAACCAATGGACATGCGGGGGTCTCAGGGTTGGGTTTCTGGTGGAAGGTCTCTTGTGGACTGGCCTCCACTGCACCCGAAAGCAAGATAGACTCAGGGGGGACGCATCGACCCCCGACTGCCCACTGGTCGCCGATGAGGGCCGATAGCCCACCCCGCTCAGGAGCGTGCGGATTCGCTGTCGGGGGCCTATCGCCGATCTAACCTATCGGCGATGGATGTACGATTGCAGGCCGGCGATTCCTCCATGCCAGCCGGTCCCTTCCCCATCAGGTGCCGCCAAGAGGGGGGGGGATGACTTGAGGGGGACATCATGGCCTGAGCCACGATTTCTCCCAGCTTTGGTGGCCACCTTTTTTCCTTTCCACTGCCCCTTAAACCCATCTTGGACGCCCCGCCCTGGATGCCCCCCCGACGCCAACGTTCCCCCTCCTCTTCGAGCTCTCTCTCCCCTGGCGCCCCGCCCGATCGCACAGTGCCGCCCGCCTCGGTCGGCACCCGCGCCGCGAGCCTGCGCAGCGCCCCGCCCCCGGCCCCGGCCCCGCGCGCGGTGCAGGTGGAGCGGCTGCAGGCGGAGTCGCTGGCGCGCTAGGCCCGTGGTCTGAGAGTGTGGTCCATGCCTCGGAGCCGCGCCCGGGCGGTGATGAGTGCCGCTGGAGGCAGCAGCCCTTAGCCTGCCAGGGAGGAGGAGGAGGCGGAAGGATATGAGAGGAGCCGGGGCCGAGGAGCGCTCTCTCTCCCAGGGGGGGGCGGAGAGGCTCTCCTCCGCACGCTCCCTCGTCCGCCATTCCCCCTTCCTCCCAGGCTTGGGGGCCTCCCTGCTCTTCCGCCAGCACTCCCCCACCACGCCGCCTTGGCTGCCGTGGTCCCATCTGCAGGGGGTGCCATTGGTCCTGGGTGTCAAGGGCAGGAGCTGCTGAGGGGAACTTGGGGCGGGCCAGTGAGGGGGGACGGCGGGTCCATGGAGCGGAAGAGGAGCCACACGAGGACAGTGAGCAGTACCACGAGGACGACGGCGAGGAGGAGGAGGAGGGCGAGGCACAGCGGGAGAAGGACGAGGCACTCAGTGCAAATGTGGAGGAGGAGGAGGAGGAGGAGGAGGAGGAGGAGGCAGGAGGAGGAGGAGGAGGACGAGGAGGAGGAGCAGGAGGAGGAGGAGGAGGAGGAGCAGCAGCAGCTTGGGAGCAGCTTTTAGCGGGCGGCCGGGCGGGCGTCGTGCCCCCCCCCACCACCCCCGTGCCGAGCGCTCACGCGCGCCCGTGCGGAGCGCGGCGCGCGGCCGCCCCTCGCCCCCCGCGCTGCCGCGTCAGCCTCCTTCAAGGGCGCGCGGCGGCGGCCGCCTGCGCCGCCTCCGCCCCCCTCCCCGCTCTGGCGGACTGCGCGGAGGAGGAGGAGGAGGAGGAGGAGGAGGAGGAGGAGGAGGAGGAGCCTCACAGCGGGAGGCGGATGGCTGGCCCGCCGCGCTCGGCACGCGGCGTGCGGGCTCGCTCGGCCCCCTGCCCGCCTCGCTTGGCGGCGGCGGCGGCGCTGCGCCCGCGCGCGCGCCCGCCACCGGCAGGGTGCCCCTCGCCCGCCGCGCCGGCCTGGGCCTCCCGGCCGGCTCGCCGTTCCGTTGGAGCGGCGGTTCCCACGCGGGCTGGCCTCTGCGGCGGCCTCTGCACTCCGCCTGCTGTGCTGCGGGGCTTGCCGTCATTCTGGTCTGCCTCTCCTCGTGCGCCGAGCGTCCTCCTCCTCCTCCTCCTCCTCCTCCTCCTCCTCCTCCTCCTCCTCCTCCTCACCCTCCCTTCATCCCTGAAAGCGCCGCAAGCTTTTACAGTGGCCGCTGCCGCCAGGCGTGCCGCCTTGCTGCCAACGTCCGCTCCTTGGCCGCCGGTGGCGCGCTTGCGACCGCGTGCCTGCGGCGGTGCTGGCGGGGAGTCCTCTGCGCCCGCTCCGACCGCTGCGACTGTCGGCGCGACGCCCATGGCGAACACGCCCGCTCCGCCTTCGGCACCATTCTGCTCAGATCCGCGATGTCCACCTCTTCCGCCACAATTGCCGTGGTCGACCTCAGCCTGTCCACTGTGGCCTTCACCATGTTCTGCTGCAGGCTGGTCCCTCTGGCTGCCGCCTTGCCCCGACTGCTCGTTGAGGGTGTCTGTCAGTAGCTGTGCAAGCTCTTGGACTTCGTCTCGGAGCGAGTCGAGGAGGAGGAGGAGGAGGAGGAGGAGGAGGATGGGGCTGTTGAGGAGGCGGAGACGATGGCGGTTCGGATGATGGAAAGCGGCACCGACATGGTTCAGTGGCAACAGTGATAGCAACAGCAGCAACGACCGCTGGCAAAGGAGCATGAATGGTAATGATACTACAAATACCACTACGACAAATAATAGTCATTCTAGCAATACTAATCAGAATCTTGTGCGTCATGGCATTGTGCAGCGTCAGGTTGCCGAGTCTGAGAGAAGGATCGCGTATGTACCATTCCTGTCGGACTCGCGTCCGCTACCAGCTCGGTATCACCGCTTGGGGGACTCCATGCGCACTGACAGCTGACCGCGCGGCACCACGTAGTCTTCCAGACGCCACCGAGTACGAGAGGGGTCTTGGGGACCTTGGGCAGTCTTGGAGCACCGAGGAACACAAACGGCGAGAACGCCAACATCTGAAACAAAAGTATAAGAATTTGTGTATCAGAACGAATGCATATGGTATATATATATGTGTGTTGGTCTAAATCATCACCCGAACACATTTGTATTATATCAATCGTTCCGTCATTTCATGCATCGTCTTCTGCCTTTCTTATCCCATTCCACTACACATCCTTCATAGACTCCTCCTACCACTCTGTATCCTCGCGTCGCCCTCCCCCCTGCCTCTCCTCAGCCATCATTCTCCTACGCAATTTTTCCTTTGCATGAAAATTCCTGGCATGTGGAAGTTCCAGCTGCCAGCCACCAAGCGTCTCAAGACGACCCAGCCAGGACGAACTCCCGGGGTTGGGGCAGGCCCTGGGGTCCCTAGACCCCTTCCCCTCCAGGACCCGACAGCTTCAGGCCAAGCGTGGGCGCCGAACCACCGGCCGATCTCCACCACTTGGGCGACCCACAGAAACGCACTCGGTGGTGCGGACATTCTCGCTTGAGCTGTCTGCGCAAGGTGGCGCGCACGCGCCCTCGTTTCCAACACAGCGTGCCGCGCTGGCGGCCCGCGCAAATCAACCGCGTGAGGGCGCTACGTCGTCTTGCGCACGGCCTGCTTGTTGTGAAGGCCTTACGGCTGGTGCCGCCACAACTGCATGCGAGGAGGACAGGGAGATGGAACAGTTGGACCCTTGGGTCTTCTGGAGCCTCTTGGGGGTCCCCCGAGTCTTCCGGGGCCTCGTGGGCCTTCCGGAGCCTCTTGGGGGTCTCCGGGGCCTCTTGGGGGTCTCCGGGGCCTCTTGGGGGCTCCGTGGGTCCTCGGAGCCTTTGGGAGCAGGGGGGGGGGCCTCCCGGGTCTTCCGGGGCCTCTTGGGGGTCTCCTGCCCTGACCTTCCAGAGAGCTATGTTTTAGCACGGGAGGCCTAAAGAACCAAACGAAACAGCCTCTAAAGCCACGACATAGAATGGCTCTGGGATCGGTTCTCAGGTCGCGTGCTATGTTTTAGCCCTCCTGGAAGGTCAGGGCGGGAGCCTCCCCGTTCCTAGTCTCGCCGCTCGTGTGGGGGGGATGCCGCGGCCGGCCTCGCCGCAGGAGCGTGCTGCGGCTCGGCCGGCCTCGGGGCTCGGAGGGGCCCGGGGAGGCCCTCCTCCTCCTTCTCCTCCTCCTCCTCCTCTTTCTCCTCCTCCTCCTCCTCCTCCTCCTCCTCTCCTCCTCCTCCTCCTCCTCCTCCTCCTCCTCCTCCCCCTCCCCTCCTCCTCCTCCTCCTCCTCCTCCTCCTCCTCCTCCTCCTCCTCCTCCTCCTCCTCCTCCCCCTTCGTGTGCCGCGCGGCTGCCGCATATCTTCGTGGACGAGTGCTCCGCGCGCACGTGCAGGGGCCCCCAAACAGGGCTCGTTTCGAATCCTCCGATTCGATTCGATTCGACTCCGATGGATTCCGATTCCGATTCGATTCGATTTCGGATTCCGATTTGGGCTCCGATTTCGTATTGGACGCATACTAGCCTGCCGATTTCCGCCGATTCGACTTTTCCCGACTCGGCTGCCGATTTCTGCCGATCCGACTTATTCCGATCGCCGATCCGACTTATCGATTCGATTTTGGGCTCCCCTGCCCAAAGAGAGGCTCGGACATCTCGCAAACATCGAGGCGGCGGTTTTTCATAGTTTTTGGCCTGTCGGAGCCCCTCCTGGGACTTCCCAAAGAGAGGCTCGGGCATCTCGCAGACATCGAGGCGACGGTTTTTCATAGTTTTCGGCCTGTCGGAGCCCCTCCTGGGACTTGGGGCCGTCGAACAGAAACGATTCGGGATGTGCTGGGGAAGTGCTCCAGAGGTCGGGGGCCCGCAGCTCAAATCGAGACTGCGGATGTCTGGGTTCAATTCTTCGATCCTCTCTCGGGCTCCTCGGGAGCAGCCCGAGAGGGGACCTCGAGCATAATACAACCACGAACCTCCCAACACAAGGAATTCGTGGCCCAGCCCAGGTCCACGGTGCTGAGGGTTCTCCCTGAACGTGTGGGTGGTGACGTCTGAGATGTCTGGGAAAAAGATGCGCCCTGTCCCTCGTGTCTTTGGCCCTCCTAACTTGGGCCCCCTCCCAAATGATTCTGGGGTGCTTGTGTACGGTAGGTTTTCGTCGTGTCGACCAGCGGCGACCCCAGCGCGGGCGTTCAAGGTTGAACGCCGCCGGCGACCCAGAATCGATCGATGTTTAACGATCGGACGTTGCGGCAGCGGCCGATCGTTCAAGGTTGAACGATCCCTGCGGTGTTAAAAACCAACGCTCGGGTCGGCACGACACGAACCTGCCGTATTGCTCCTCACGAGCGGGGGCCTGCGGGGTCCTACGGGGCGCCCGGTCTCTTGCGGTGGCCCTGCACACTGGGCAACGGCCGCACAGGGACGGCGATGCCGGCCCAGGCCCGCACCTGCGCTGCAACAGCAGCCATGGCCCCGGGCGCCGCCTGCGAGGGTGGGCTCGTTCTCCACCGCCACCACCTTGAGTAGGAGGGGGAGGGGGTCCTCCCCCTGCTCCTCCTCCTCCTCCTCCTCCTCCTCCTCCTCCTCCTCCTCCTCCTCCTCCTCCTCCTCCACTTCGTCCTCCTCTTCATCCTCCTCCTCATCCTCCACGCCCTTCCCCCCATCCAACTTGTGGTGGTGGTGGTGGTGGTGATGGTGGGAAAGAGACCCATCATGCGAGGGCCGGCCCGGCGGCCGCCGCCCGCCCCCCGCCGCGGCTCGGCGGCCGCGCGCGCGCGTCCGCTCCAGAATCCTTGGGGGCCGCGCGCGGGCCGGGGCGCTTCCCGCCCCGCCCTCCCTTGGGGGAAGAGAGGCGCCTCCGCCCCGACCTGCAGCGGCGGGAGGGGCACGGATCCCGCTGCCTCTGCCTCGTTTTCGCTCCGCGCTGGCTCCTGGGAGGCCTTCGTCGCCCCAGCCTCGGGGGACGAAGTCTATACATATCCACTGCTCCCTGGCCAGGCCCATCCTGAACCCAGGAGCTGTGTATACGCCCTCCTGGCCAAACCAGGAGGGCGTGGCGTATACGCAGCTGCTGTGTTCAGGATGGGCCTGGCCAGGGAGCAGTGGATATGTATAGATTGCGTCGCCCTACAGCCGGAGCCGCCTCGAAGTTGCAGTCAGACAGCACCCTTGAAGAGGCTTGGAGAGAAGTTGGCGGTACCGGTGTTGATTTGTTTTCCCCTCGGACAGGCATCTCTGCCTTCACCTCCTCCTCCTCTGGGGCTGGGTCCAAGAGCTTCGGCTCACGATTGTATAGGGTGTGTCGCCACCAGAAGAACGCGCACACACAGCGCCTGCCCCCCCCCTTTTCTGGGCCAGGTCGGGGTGGGGGTGCCCTTTTGCTCCGCCAGCCTCGGCGCGGGCGTTCCGCTTTCCGTACACCTCGCGCCCCCCATCGGTTTTGGTTGCCGTGGGCGGCCGACGTTGCCGTTGGGGGGGGCTCGGGCCATTCAACACGCCGACACACTTCGCTCCCCCTTTTCCATAGGTTGCACCTCACAGTTAGCAGTCCATGGCTCACGCCGTCATATCTTATATACCCCTTGCAACAGAAGAAAAGACTCTATCACTCTCTCTCCCTTGACTGGTCGAGCCGCCATGGGATAGAACAGCTTACAGACGATTCTGCCCCATTTTTCATTTTGCATTGCGAATCAATCACACCATCCGAGGCCAGACTTGTCAAAACATACCATGCGTTTACACTCGCTCATCTCAGACAAGAAGGTTGCAATCATTCATTGCGGAAGCACATAACATATGCCATGTACGCGCACTGTCGCAATCATGCAAGCACATGAGTTGTGTAAGCGTTTCAACCTAAACGCAGACAGCACCAAGGTTTGTATGTAAGGTTGGGCAAATACATTGCTCGCGCAAACATGCTGACATCATAGAGAACCATACGATTAAAACAATATTGTCCTAAGCCCGAATGTTCATCTCACCATGCGTTGTATCTGCGTTGATCGAGCATGTACCCAGTGCACGAGCCCATATCAAATAGAACAATGCGGGCCGCACCCGCGCGCCGCCACTCGCGCATGTAGAAATGTATTCAAGACTCTAGATACACGACGCATTTCAACACAGAGCCTTTTAACAACAGATGTGAAACCAGCAGCTGTTCAACAAACCGTCTGCCAGCTTTTTTGGACCTCTGCGCGTGCACACTTCCCCAACACAGTCCTCATCAGCGCCATCGCATCACCGCCGTCATCGTCATCGACAATCGTCGCCACTGCTACCAGCACCAGCACAATCAGCTGCTTCATCACGAACACGCCGATCTCATTACCGTCGTCGTCGTCACCTACGTCGGGGCCGCCATTGGCCTTGCCACCGTCATCGTCACTCCCGCCGCCACCGCCGTTAATTTCATCATCCGTGTCGCCATTGTCGACGTCATCACGATACCGCGCCCGCCAGAGTCATTGACCCGCACCGCAGGGCCCGCACGCAAGCACGGCCTTTGAGACGCGCTGGGAAGTTTGCACGGATAAGCGCCATCGCGGCAGCATCATCTGTGCCACACGAGTTGGCAGTCTTGGGCGCGACTTTGCGCGAGCCAGCGCGGCCGCAGAGATGCGCTAGCAAGTGCAAATCGGCAACCGTCATCGTGGCCGAATGGGCGTTGCCAAACAAGTTGTGAGCGAGGGGGGGGGGGGACTGCGCGAGCAGTGGAGCCGACAGCGCATGAGCTGAAAGGGGTTCGTTCTTTTTCAAAAAGGGATTGGTTCCACCACCCTCCCCCTCCGAGGTTACCCCCTTCCTTCGCATTGTAATTTTTATACGTGCGATTCTGCCCCATCGTTCGTTTTGTATACTGCCACGTAATATCCTTGGCGAACTGGTATCGCCGCCCCTGTCAAATAATACAGTGCGCGCATTTTCCCGTTTACCTTAGGATGCAATTTAATGTCCACGCGCGCGCACATGCCGAAATCGGAGTGAGGGGTTCCCGCTCACGCGAATCCATATCAAGTCGTGCTCGCGCTGGCTGCTTCGGGGCAGGCAAACATCCGCCGCGTTTATCTTCTTCGTCTTCTACTACTTCTTCCTTTTCTTCTTTTTTCCGGCCTGGGATGGGAGGAGGAGGAGGAGGAGGAGGAGGAGGAGGAGGAGGAGGAGGAGGAGCCTGGCGGGGCCTGGCTGGGGCGGGCCGTGCGCGCGTGTGGGAGGCCCGGGGTGGGGGGGTCCGGGGAGCAGCCCCAGTGGCCCACCGCGGGGTGCCCGCGGCGTCGCGGGAGCCCCGTCGCCGCGGGGGCCTACGGGTGGCGCCAGTCGTGAGGGGGCCCTGCGGAGGAGGCCCGGGAACTCTTCTCGCGAGGGGCCCGCCGCGTCGTGGGGGTCCGTCGCCGTGGCGCCCGCTGGAGGCGCTGGCTTGGGCTTCACGGACATGGAGGGCTGAAAAAACATCGGTGCATGTGGCGGGCTTCTTCAGTGAATGTTCCGTTCCATTTTGTCGAGTAACCCGTCCGGGGGCCGCTGGGAATTCAAGAAATGGGCCCCTGCGGCGGGCTGCTTCATTTAAGGCTTCGTTGCACTTGTTTTAGTGGCCCGTTCCGGGGGGGGGCGCGGCGTCGTAAGGGCCCAGAGGTGACGCCGGTCTTGGTCGCGCAGAAATCCATGCTCAACATTAAGAGGTCGGCGCTTGCGGCGGGCTGCTTCTTTGAATGCCTGTTTTTTTTCTGGTCCAGTTGGGCCCCAGATGGGGGCTCGGGAGTTCGCGCGACGATCTTCGTAGCCGCCCTGGCGGGGGTGCCAGCTTGGCGCTTGGGAGTCGTCCCTGTGGAAATCGGCACCTCTCCGTGATCTCCTTCATGTTCTGATAGCTCCGCAGTCGCCAAGGCGCCGCGCGCCACGGTCCAGTTCACAGCACGTCGCGCTGAGACCGCAGGAAACCCTCACTTCTATCCGCACTTGCGGGGGGTATGGTAAGACCCATCACACCCGTCCTGCAAACTTTGCAGTACAACAATATCAGAACCCATTAGATCTGCCATCACCAATCTTTCAAATGTTCTGCACATGCATCTGCGTTGATTCAGCATGCACCCAGTGCTCAATCCGTATCAGATAATGCCGCGCGCGCCGCCACGTGCGCGTGTCGGAATATCTTCCATACCATTGGCTTTCGTATCATTCAAACATACAGCTCTTCAGACGTATGTTAGATATTCTGGGCCATAGGCAGTCGGGTCTTGCAATCTATGCGGTGCAAGCTACGTGGTGAGTTCAATGTGGCGCAGTCTAAGTGTTGCAGTCCATGTGGCGTGATACAGAACAAGCCAAAACAAGGTCGTGCAACGCGAAAGCATTGCAAAGCATTGCAAAGCAAAGCAAAGCAAAGCAAAGCAAAGCAAAGCAAAGCAAAGCAAAGCAAAGCAATCCACAGCAGTGCACATCAATGGGAAACAATACAACTCAATACAACGCACCTGCCTTCAGAGGAGGAGAAGGTACCGATCCCGCTGCTTTTGCGTGTCATTAGCTTTGTGGTGGCTCTTGGGAGGCCCTCGTCGCCACTGCTGAATTCCGTTTGGAATTTTTAATCCGAGCGCACCCCAGGAGAGGCTTGGAGAGCAGCGGTATCGGTATTGCTAGTTTTCCTCGAGAATGGTTCTCTGCCCCCACAACCCCCTTCGCTGGGGCTGGGCCAAACAGCTTCGGCTTCCGATTGTGGAGGGCGCTTCGCCACAGAAAAACACGCATACACACACGCATGTTTTAAATCGGCGGCGCAAAGGAATCTCAGGCGCGGTCGGCAGTGGAGGTGCCAATTGTGAACGAACTTAGTTGAACGCGCCGTGATGAAATAATCCAACCACAGCCATGCAGATTGGTGGTGGTGGTGAAAAAGTGAAGCGCTGCAAAGGCAAAATGCAGCGGCCAAGCATCACGCGGAGCGGAAACACATGGCACAGCACCTTCCCCTCCCTTTCTTGGCCAGGTCGGGTAGGGGTGCTCGTTTGCTCTGCCAGCCTCGGCGCAGGCTTCCCGCTTTCTGTACATCTCGCGCCCCCCATCGGCTTTGGTTGCCGTGGGCGGCCGACGTTGCCGTTGGCGGGACCCGCGGCATTCAACACGCCGACACACTTCGCTCCTCCCCCCGTTCAATGGAGTGCGCTTCGCAGTTACCCATCGAGCTCACCTCATCATATCTTTACATTCTTCTTGCAACCAGAAGGAATATGCAACCACCTTCTCCCACACCCGGACTGATCGAGCCGCCCTTGGATAGAACAGTTTACGTACGATTCTGCCCCATCAACCATATTCCATCGCAAATCACACCATCCCAGGCCAGCTGGTGATTCACCCTTCCACCTCATTCCTGTCAAAAGATACCATGCGCCCGCATTCTCTAATCTTCAAAACATGATTTTGCAAGAATTCTGCTCGGAGGCAGACGAGAGGTTCCATACGCACGCGAACGTGTTGAAAGCATACAAGCACATG